CATCCTCTCAACAACCACAAATCAAAGTCATTCAATTCCCTCCCTCCAGTATTTGAACAAGGTTAAAATTGGTAACAAATTTGTATATTTTCATAGAAAATTTTAAGAGTGCATTTTCTGTGATCTATACCTCTTTAGTACCAAAACAAAACTGTCATAACTAAACCTACTAATGTTTCAAGTAAGCAGAGACTATTATGTTTATAAATACTTAAAAAGTTTCAGTATAATTTTTGTTAAAATTAAATACATGATGTTTCCTAATACATATTTTAATAATTTTCAGTTAAATACTTTTATTTACCATTTCTACATCCACTTATACAGTTAATTTACAGCAATTATATATACAAACTAGAGGCCCAGTGCATGAAATTCGTGGACTGTTAAGGTCCCTAGCAGCTGCTCCCTTCCCCCAGCCGGCCCCGCCTCCTGCTCAAACTCCCAGTCAAGAGGACAATTTACATGCTACGCTTTTATTATATAGGATTGTACATAATTATTCTCTAAAAATTTAAATAAGTATATGGTAAGTTTTTCTACTTGCATTTAAATAGGTACAATATTGAAACAGATAGTGTGAAAACACAGAAACAGAATATTTCAGTCACCTAGGTGTGTATTATTTATCCCAACCAAAAGTAGTATGCAATAGTTTAATCTATAAAGTGCTCCCTCTCTCCAGGCAGAGCACTCAGGGATAGAGTGCTGCAAAAATATTAATGTGGCACTAGATTAAGTTTATACTTAGTGTTTCAGTCACCAAATTGGAATTCTGTTAATCAGAACACAGGTGATAGAGGGACAATGAATAAGAACTACTGGCTTAGTTTTCCATTTGATTTTTTTCAGCCTCTCATGCCTTATCTGGTTAATTTTGGTTTCTTCTCTGGTTGTTTTCTAGCCCATGAAAACTGCCAAGACACAATCATCAATGACCCTTGCCTTTCTTACCACCAAATACTTAAGTGCATGCCTTTTGTGAATATTTTTAATTGATTAGTGAAAATGTTTGAATTAAACCGTTTTCATGCTATTTTCACAAGAGGAATTTTTACTTATTGCAGCAAAATTTAGAACTTATTTCTATAATGTTTGTAATGTCAAAGGCATTCTTTGAAATAACTATACCTAAATGAAACCATAAAGAAAAAAATTAATAATACAATTCAATCAAAATTTAATAAAGTTGTACCGTAGAAGCTATAGCTAAGGAAAGTGTTAACATTAAATATGTTTACTATAGACTTTGAGCATTTAGGCTTTATCAAATTAGCAAAGTTTCCCTTTATTCTTAGTTTCTGAGAGTGTTTTTATATACAGGTGATAATTTAAAAAAATGTTGTATTCCAATAAACTCTCAATTGATAATTCATGACATATTGTTATATGTTATTTGTCATATTGTATAATGAATACATACTTACCTCTTCAGGCTTTAATATATGGGTTCCCTATTAAACTGTTTGATTCAGTGAAAAATGAGACTTGTACTTCCATGCATCTCTAGTGCAGTTCCCTTTTTCACCAATATTTATTGCATGTGTATTGTGTTCGGTATTATGTAAGAAATTGTGTTTTTTCTTACAAGCAATTACTACAACTGTATAAGTAAATAAAAATGGTATTGTATTAGCACATAGAGATGATAAAAGAAAGTACATAATTAGTTCAATCTTTCAGGTGAAATTTCATAATTTTAAGTTGAAAAGATCTCTCAAATCTTTGGAACTCATGGTACTTTTATATTAACCCACAAGCAATTTTGTAATATCAAGAATTATTTAAAATTATCTATCTATCATCTATCAATCTATCTATCTATCTATCTATCTATCTATCTATCTATCTATCTATCTATCTAAAAGCCTAAGCGACCGTTCGCTATGACACGCACTGACCATCAGGGGGCACAGGCATGGAAACACGGACCAGACTGATGAATCTCAGAGGGAAAGGGGGAGGGCAGGAAGAGACTAACCAAAGATCTTATATGCATAGTAGGAGCCCTGTTACACGGATTTGTGCACCGGTGGGGTCCCTTGGCACGGCCTGCGGGAATCAAGCTGAAACCGGCAGGCAGTCTGACATCCCCCGAGGGGTCCCGGATTGTGAGAGGGCACTGGCCAGGCCGAGGGACCTCACCGGCACGAATCCGTGCACAGGCCTCTAGTAATACATAACAATCTAAAGATAAACTAGCAAAGAACAGTACTAGTTCTAATCTAGAGACTAAATGTGAATATTCACAAAGAAATTATTCCTAACTTCTAAATCTTCATCAATCAAGAAATCTACACAATTCTACTATGTACTTTTATAATCTTCTTATATTAAGTTCTACCCTTGTACTATATGCAACTAAGTGTAGTAAAAATAAACTGTAATATACTTAGGCACATTCTCATGAAATTTAAATAGAACTTTACACAAGATAAAAAAGGTAGAGAACCATTCATTAAAGGTGCATTTTATTAAGTACCAGGTCATTCTTCTCTTTTATTTACTAGGTTAACAAATAGAATCATTATTGTGAGCATTTTAAAATATAGGTCCACAATCCCTTATTTAAAAACCGGGAATTCCTACATCTCTGAAAACTTAAAAAAATTTTTTTCACAATTCATTTGAGGGTAATCTAACCAATATGAGGATATTTATAGTCCGTATATATCCTATCCAGTGTAAATATTTGCTGAAAATTAATGTGTTTGATTATGACAGATATCCCGGGACTCTACTGAAATGTAAAATAATAGGGGCATATGTAACATATTTTCTTCTCAAAGGCATAAGAAATCTGAATATTAAAATACAACTAGCCCTGAGCTGGCTGGTATAGCTCAGTTGGTTGAGCCTCCTCCCATGTATCAATTCCTGGTCAGGGCACATGTCTGAGTTGCAGGCTCCATCCCCAATAGGGGGCATGCAGGAGGCACCAATAGATATTTTTCTCATATCAGTGTTTCTCTCAAATCAATAAAAACATTGACAAAATATAACTAGCCCTAAGTGTGTATGTGTGTTTTAATATATCTTTACTGATTTCAGAGAGGAAAGGAGAGAGAGAGACACAGAAACACCAATGTGTTTCGAACTACAACCGCTTGGTTCATAGGTTGATGCTTAACCACTGAGACACATCAGCCATGTCCTAAGTGTTTTTGATAATGGAGTGAGGAACTGATGATTCTAAAACCATTCAAAATATTTTTCCTATTCTATATGTTACCTTTTCACTATGTTGTTTCTTTCTTTAAAAATTTTTTTTTTTAATTTTAGAGAGAGAGGAATGGAAAGGGGGAGACAGAGAAAAACATCAATATGAGAGAGAAACATCAATTGGTTGCCACTTGTACGTGTCCCGATTAGGGATTGAATCTGCAACCTTGGCATTGTGCCCTGATTGGGAATGGAACCAGCGACCCTTTGGTGCACCCAATGATGCTCCAACCAACTGAGCCACATCATCCAGGGCACTTGGATTGTTTCTTTTACTGTTTCTTTTCAGTTTGATATAGTCCCATCTATTATTGCTTTTGTGCCTATGCTTTTGGTGTCATAACCAAGAAATCACCTCGCAGACCAATGTCATGAAGCATTTGCCTTAAGGTTTCTTCTAGAAGTTTTATGGATTCAGGTTTTATTTTTAAATCTTTACACCACATATCTGATAAAGAGATAATGTCCAAAAAATATAAGGAACCCCTATAATTCAATAGCAAAAAACCAAATAACAGATCAAAAAATGGGCCTATGACTCGAGTAGACATTTCTCCAAAGAAGGCATACAATGAAAATGCTCAATATCTGTAATCATAGTAGAAATGCAAATCAAAACCACAAGATTATCTCCTCATACCATTATCAAAAGAACAAAAGATAAGTGCTAACAAGAATGTGTAGAAATTAGAATCATTGCATGCTATTGGTGAAAATGAAAAATAATGCAGCTGCTATAGAAAACTGTATGAAGGTTCCTTAAGAAATTAAAAACAGAAATACAATATGATCCAGAAATCTCACTTCTGGGTATATATCCAGAAGAACCAAAATGAGTATATTGAAGAAATATCTGCACTCCCTTGTTCATTGCAGTACAATTCACAGTAGCTAAAATATGGAAACAACCTAAATTTCCATTAACAAATGAATGGATAAAGAAAATGTGATAAACACAGAGAATGAAATATTATTCAGTCTTAAAAAGGAAAGAAAATCCTGCCCTGTGAGATAACATGGATAAGCCTGGGGGATATTATGCTAGGTAAAATTAACTTCACAGGAGAACAAATACTGCATAATTTTAATTATATGATATCTAAACTAGTATAACTCATGGAAACAAAGTAAAATGGTAATTGCTGGGGGAAGGAAGAAATGGAAAGTTAGTGTTCAACAGGAATAAAGTTTCAGTTGTACAAAATGAATAAATTCTAAAGATCTGCTGTACAACACTGTGCCTATAGTTAACAACACTGTATTGTGAACTTAAAAAACTGTGAACTTAAAAAAGTTTAAAAAATGTTTAAAAATATTTCTAATATTATTCAGTCCTCATTTACTATTAAAAGCAATTCTTATACTCATGTATCTCTACTTGTGCTTTCATATTCTAACACATGTTTTAATAAACAAAAATATTATTTTCACATCAAAATCATTGTGATAAAGAACATTTTTTAAACAGACACTTGAGAAATATCAAAAGCCTGAAACAAAATATTAAAGAAAATATTTAACAGTGATTTAACTGTATTAGACAATATAACATAACATTTATACTACACCTCTTTCTATAAGAGATTTGAATTGGAAGCCTTTTTAGTAATAGCACATTAAACGCAAATTTACATAACTTCTATACTGAGGGTAAATATTAAAATATAAAGAAGGTACGTACAACACACAATGAGATTCTTCTATCATTCTGGATTTCATTATCTCAAATCAAAAGCTTCTAAATCATGTAATATGCCATAAAAAGTGGGAGCACTTACTTAGGAGTAGAAGGACCCCTTGGCCATGTTCCGTCTTCATTTTTCTGTTCTATCACTAACACCTACAAATATGACACAGTAAGAGTGTTTGTCTTAACCCCAATGTTAAAAATAGTTTTAAAAGATTAGCTGAATTCACTAAGAAACTAAAGCAACCCTGTGATTTATTAAAGCACACAGTATATAAGGTGAAGAGATATTTGTATTTTGATTCCAAAGCTAGGCAAAGGAGACAAAAATTTAAGAAGCAAAATATAAAAACTAAGCAATTGAACACACACACACACACACACACACACGAGAAAGATAAGGACCACTCATTTTGGGGAGCAAACTCTTCAATAATATATATTTGTTTCACTTCCTAACAAGGGTACTTTCAATTTTAGTAAAAAAATAAATTAATTAAAAGTTCAGGATAGTGTTTAGTTTATTTATCAGTAGTCAGAAAAGAACTTATAAAATCTGGAAAACATTTTAAAAAAAATATTTTTATTGCCCTAACCGGTTTGGCTCAGTGGATAGAGCGTCGGCCTGCGACTGCAGGGTCCCAGGTTCGATTCCGGTCAAGGGCATGTACCTTGGTTGTGGGCATATCCCCAGTAGGGGGTGTGCAGGAGGCAGCTGATGGATGTTTCTCTCTCATTGATGCTTCTAACTCTCTATCCCTCTCCCTTCCTCTCTGTAAAAAAATCAATAAAAATATATTTTAAAAAATATATTTTTATTGATTTCAGAGAGGAAAGGAGAGAGAGATAAAAACATCAATGATGAGAGGGAATAATTGATTGGCTGCCTCCTGAACATCCCCTACTGGGGATTGAGCCTGCATCCTGGGCATGTGCCCTTGACCAGAATTGAACCTGTGACCCTTCAGTCCACAGGCCAACACTCTACCTACCCACTGAGCCAAACCGGCTAGGGCTAAAATCTGGAAAATTTAATGCACATTTTTGGAAACATTCCTATTTCAAAATCCTAGCAATAAGATCAAATTATTTAAATTCTTGAAGCCTCAGTTTTTTCTAATGTACATAATAAAAAAAATAATAGTCATTACACAGGACCAATCACTGAAAAGAGTTAACGAAATAAAACTATATAGTTAAAATTGTCCCCCAGAGCTACCACAAGGCCTGCTGAATGGTAACCAAGGAGAGAGGTGGAGGTCTATTGGTAGACAAGAAAGAGAGTTGGCTGGTTTGGGAGGGGAGTATTAACGAACTAATAGAGTTCCAAGTTCCTTACTCCAGCTTCAATCAGGTAACTCTACCTTCAATTGTAATACATATTAAAAATTTAAGATTTCACTAAGAATATAATGGCTAAAGTATCAAATAACTGTTTTTATAGTCTATTTACAGAAATATGGAAGATTGAAAGTGGACATGCCAAATACTGGAGGCAGAGAGATCTGTTAAATAAGGGCTGGGAAGGACACAGAGATTAATGAAATATTTAGAAGGCAGAATCAGTAGGACTTGCTGATTGTGTTTAAATGTCTTTGTTTTTCAACATATTCATTCCTCTGGATTATATCATAAAGAAAGAACAAATTGGGGCTTAATACCTTCTAGCAGGAGCTGGCAAATTATAGTTCACTTAGTTTACTGACTGCTTTTGTAAATAGCTTGTTGGAACAGAGCCATTTCCATTTGTTTACATACCCTCTCTATGGTTACTTTCATTATACTAACAACGGCAGAGTTGTAGTTGTGACAGAGACCATAGAGATGGCTGAACCAAAAATATTCACTATTTAATCCTTTATAGAAGTTGGCTGACCCATCTTATTTAGCTGGTTTTTTTTTAATGGAAACTTATTTCTTTTTATATTCAAGTTCAAAGAGGCAAAACAGAAAGTTATAGTTAAGTGTCCAGCAAGGATAAGGAAGAAATGAGTTAGAAAAAGGAAGTGAGAGCCAACAGGACCCACTATAGATGTCAGATGTCCAAAAAGTTTGTGACTTAAGAAAGCTCCATGTATGGTATGCTTAAAATAAACAGTACTGATAAACAATACCTGTCCTTGGTATAAACCAGCATCCTGAATGGTGCTGTCTGGTTTATTCAGCGGTTCAAATGTATTGCTCATGTATTTGTTCCACAATCTCGTCTCCTTTTCATCTGGAATATTGAAGATTTTTCTTATTTCCTTTTCAATTGTATCTAGATTTAAGGAGAAAAGATATGTAAATATAGTATTTAAATATATACCACATAGACCTAAGTGCTCACCAGCATAAAAGTCCCAAATTTAAAATACTGATATGACAGTAAGAATAGGTGAACGGGTATGTAAAAAAATATGTAAAAAAACAACAATAAACAAGATTTTTAAGACCAGGTGTGCTTTTTAAGAAAATGGTAATTATAACTCTGACAGATGATTACTTAGGGAAATTGAGATCTCAAAAGGTAAAGGAGTTCAATCATATTAACACCAAAGTATAATTTATGTCATATAGCTTAAATTTATGTTTACTTATAAAATCAACATAATTTTTGATGATATGTAGAAGTTAGAAAATAAAGTATGACTCAGATATTACAAATGGAAATTTTTAATTATGACATAACTAATTTCAGAACAATATTAAATTAAGTATAATTTACAATTTAAATAGTTTGTTTTAAAATATATTTTTATTGATTTCAGAGAGGTAGATATAGAAACATCAATGATGAGAATCATCAATCAGCTGCCTTCTGCACACCGCCTACTGGGGATCGAGCCTGCAAATGGGGCATGTGCCTTTGACTGGAATCAAACCCAGGACCCTTCAGTCTGCAGGCTGACACTCTACCCACTGAGCCAAACCAGCTAGGGCTGAATTAATTTTTTTTTAAAATATATTTTATTGATTTTTTACAGAGAGGAAGGGAGAGGGATAGAGAGTTAGAAACATCGATGAGAGAGAAACATCAACCTGCTGCCTCCTGCACACTCCCCACTGGGGATGTTCCGCAACCAAGGTACATGCCCTTGACCGGAATCGAACCCGGGACCCTTGAGTCTGCAGGCCAATGCTCCATGGGCTGAATTAATTTTAATAGACTATACTCTTTGGATATATTTATAGATTCTTATTGTACAGATTTTAATGTCATGATTAATGTAATATTATAGACAGTAGTCTCCCCCACCCCCTTATCTGCAGTTTTTCTTCCTGCAGTTTAAGTTACCTGTGGTCAACTGCGGTCTAATAGTATTAAATGGAAAATTCCAGAAAAATGGAATTCATAAATTTTAAATTGCATGTGTTCTGAGTAGCAGGATGAAATCTCAGCTCTCTGCTCTGTCCTACCATGGACGTGAGTCATTCCTTTGTATGGCACATCCATGCTGTATATGCTACCTGCTGCCAGTCACTCATAATGGCCCCATAGTGCAAGAATAATGATGCTGGCAATTGGGATTCGTCAAAGAGATGTAAAAAGCTTCTTTTAAGTAAAAAGGTGACTGTATATATATAAAAGGCTAATATGAAAAGTGTCCCCTCGGGAGTTCAACCGGGAGTTCGACCACTGGCTGGCTACTAGGGGGTGGTGTGGAACATGGTGGGCAACTAGGGGTGGCAGTGGGGTGCTAAGGGAGCAAGGGAAAGAGGAGGCAGGGAACCTGCTTGGCCCTGATCGCTGGCCAAACCTAGGGACCCTACCCATGCACAACTTTCATGTATCGGGCCTCTAGAAGTACAATAAAATATTGAGACAGACAACATTCACATAACTTTTATTACAGTATATTCTTATATCTGTTCTATTAGTTATCAGTAGTTATTGTTGTTAACTAGAGGTCCAGTGCACGAAATTTTGCACGGGTAGGGTCCCTAGGCCTGGCAGGCAATCAGGGCCAATTGGGGCCTTCCTTTGTTCTGCGCCACCCTCTGGTGGTCAGCGCAAGTCATAGCGAGCAGTCGAACTCCTGGATGGTAGAACTCCTGAGGGGATAATTTGCATATTAGCCTTTTATTATATAGGATAATCTCTAACTGTGCCTAATTTATAAATTAAACTTTATCATAGGTATGTTTGTATAGGAGGAAACACAGTACAGATATTTATAGAGTTTGGTACTATCCCAGGTTTTAGGCATCCACTAGGGGTCTTGGAACATAAGCTCCATTAATAAGGGCACACGACTGTATTATATTGAAAACTTTCAGTATTTAGTATGTAGCATTGTTTTCTTTTCCTAATGATATTCCACAAATCTTGAAATTCAAAAGTTAAGTAATTTTTTCATAATCTGATAGTTATATATGGAATTCCTAATATTTTAAGCATTCATTTTAGAAAGGTGACTGTGAGTTTATTGAAATGACCTGGCAAAATAAAGAGGGCGAAAATAAAAAAAAACACACACACACAATATTTTATTGGTGAAAACATTAGTATTAAAAAGCACAGGATACTGAAAGATATCCTGTGAAAAATATAGATTAAAAGTATTTTCCTGCGGTGAAATGGGTGGCTGGTAAAAGTCAAATGACATATAAAATTCAGAAATACTTTTATTTACTTGTAAGCTAAGTGTACTTAATGATTGCTTCCAACAAGGAAAACTACATAGTGCCATAATTTATAACCTCTCTTCCTCGTTGAGGAGTTGTGCATTAAGTGTTATCTCCAATGTTTACTTACATTTTCCAAAAAGATCAAATTATTATGATTAACCTTGTTTTCCAGTAACTTTATTTGAAAATAACTACTGTTTCTGATTTTTATTTTAAGCTGTTTTTATCAAAAGTACTAAAATTTGTGATTAAATTACTAATTGTTGATTTAAAAAACTTTTCACTCAATATATTCTTGATATTATATTACAACTAGAGGACTGGTGCACGAAATTCATGCACAGGGGAGTGTCCCTCAGCTGGGCCTGCACCCTTTCCAATCCGGGACCCCTCAGGGGATGTCTGACTGCCGGTTTAGGCCCGATCCCTCTCGCAATCCAGGACCACTGGCTCCTAACCACTCACCTGCCTGCCTGCCTAGTGCCCCCAACTGCCCTCCCCTGCCGGCCTGGTTGCACCCCCAACTGCCCTGCCCTGGTCACCCCCAACAGCCCTCCCATGCATGTCTGGTTGCCCCCAACTGCCCTCCTCTGCAGGCCAGTTCACCCCCAACTGCTCTCCCCTGCCAGCTTGATCTTGCCCCCAACTGTCCTCCCCTGCCGGCTAGATCTCGCTCCTACTGCCCTCCCCAACAACTGCCCTCCCCTGCCGGCCTGATCGCCCCGAATTGCCCTCCCCTGCCGGCCTGATCGCCCCTAACCCCCAGGCCAGCCTGATCTCACCCCTAACTGCCTCTGCCTTGGCCCCCACCACCATGGCTTTGTCTGGAAGGAAGTCAAACGTCCAGAAGATGGCTGGTTGACCTGGTCTAATTAGCATATTACCCTTTTATTAGAATAGATAGATGTGGCCTTCAAATAGAATGAAAAATTTTACATAAATTTATATATATATATATATACATATATATATATATATATACACATACACACACACACACACAGATATGTAGACATATAAATATATAAAGGGAGTTGGTACACTTTTATTTGAAACTTTAATTCCCTAATCTACTCATCATAAAAGTTCTTTAATTTATAATCCTGTTATAAACAAAATACACATTTTCAAATGCTAAAGTAAAACATAAATAATCTGATGCTTTTAAAAAAGTAAAATGACACAAATATTAACTTCATTTAATAATGTAAAGTGAATTTAGAAACCATAAATAATTCAACATTAAGCTAAGACATAGTGCATCAAGCTTGGAAATCTATAATGTTAAACAGAGACCCTTAACATCGTTATCATCCTAGTAACATTTAACAAATAGAACTATAATTAAATTTCTAATAGCAATGATTTAACAGATCTTGCATTACCTATTGTGTCAGCTTTGCTAAATCTTCTAGTTACAACATTGTTCATGTTTCCATTTTCACAGAGCTTCAATTCTGTGAGGTATACTTCTACTTTGCAGTGCTTTACAAACATACCCTGTTCAACCACCTGAAAAAGCAAAACAAAACAGTGTCAGCTATAGCTCAATATATTTCACTGTCTCTAACAGAATACATTTTCTAAAGAGGCTTAGAAAAAGCCACAGATCTTCAATGGAAAACAATAACTAGTAAAATCTATCAATATAAAAAATATTAACTATTTGAAAAGGCAAGAAACATTTTGGAAATTTATATTTAACAGAATATGAATAATCACATTAACACTATTAGTATGGAAAGGTAATTCTACTGATCTATGAA